TGCATGCTGTCAGTCTTTCTCATGTGCATCAAATATGGCCTGAATTTGAATTCCAACACCCACATCAGGCAGCTCGCAATTCCTTATAATTCCAGTGCTGGGGAGCACCTCTGGCCTCTGTGGGTACCTGCACTCATACACAGACAACACAATAAAAATAACAAAAATATGAGAGCTCCCAGGCCAGCCTAGATTATGTGAAATCCTGTCTCACCAGGAGGTGATGGCACATGCCTTTGATCCCAGCACTCAGGAGACAGAGGCCGGCAGATCTCTGTGAGTTTGGAGCCAGCCTGGGCTACAGAGCAAGTTCCAAGACAGTCAGGGCTGCATAGTGAAACCCTGTCTCCAAAAAGAGATAGTAGAAAAAAAAAAACAAGTTATTCTCAAAGTTAAGTTCTCTGCATTTCTCATCTAACTTTGTTTTATATCACAGGGTTAGACAGACTGCTGTGTCTTGTCACTGGAGCCCCAAGCATCAGAGATGTCATAGCCTTCCCCAAATCCTACCGAGGACATGACCTCATGAGCAATGCCCCAGATTCTTTGCCTCCTGAAGAGCTGAAGCCCTACCATATCCAGGTCTCATGGCCAACAGACTCAGAAGAGGACAGTGCATTAGCCACACCTTCCAAAAACTTGAACTCTTAAGTTTTGTCTTCTTTGCTTTACCAAACCTAAAATAAGATCCAGAGCTGCCACAGACTTTAGAATCAAAGTCTCCGTGTAGAAGCGGTCATCACCATAGGAAGAAACAGAAGCTACCCAATTATGATTTGGTAACATGTACCATTAGGATTTTCTGTGGTTTGGACTTTTGTGGAAGGTTTTAATTGAAGTATTGTAAAACAAAACAGAAAACCTCTTTACTGGAGTATTTAGAGTCTTGGTGTTTTCTAAGGTTGTTTTTTATAAACTCAGGTTATTTAGGATAGAGGATACCAAGTCATACAGGAGAATGTTTGCCTCGGCAGACTGGCCAGTTGATGCAGGGAGAGGGTTTAAATTCATCTAGCCTCACTAGGAGAACCATATAAATTGAGCTTTGTGGTGACCTTTCAGCTATCAGTATAATATACTAAGAAGTAGCAATAGAATTAAAAAAAAAAAGTCACAAAATTCTATTCAGTATTGCACCTTCAGCAAGTTACAAACTTCTCTCAGCCGTTCGTGCTGCTTTTAGAAATGTGAATGACACTTGTCCTGGCTATCTTCCAGGACTCGTTGCCAGAATCAGGATGTAACGTGTGTGGAAGATGAGTAGAAATGATTTGAATTACTGTAAAGCAGGACTGTCTTAGTCACTGTTTGTTTGCTGTAACCATAGCAACTCTTATAAAAGAAAGCCTTGTTTGCTTACAGAGGTTAACCCATTATCAGCATAGCAGCACACACAGACATGGTGCTGGAGGAGTAGCACATCCTGATCTGCAGGCAGGAGAGACAACAGCCCTAGCATGGGCTTTTGAATCCTCAAAGGCCACTCCCAGTCACACATTTCCTCCAAAGCCACACCTCCTAATCCTAATCTTTTCAAAAAGTACCAATCCCTGGTGACTAAACACTCCTCAAATATGAGCTTATGGGGCCATTTTTATTCAAACCGCCACAACAGCTCTGGTATAGAATGTACACAACTCTGGAATTCAATCACGAGCATCACAGCCATATACAACAAAACTAAAGGCTTGCTGTAGCAGTGCTCAGGATGTTGAGGTGGAAGGACCAAGGAGGCAGATGAGTACCTATTGGCAACTAGTTATCTCTTTTGGTCCAAATAAAAATAATAGGCTCCAACAATACTGGGATGCAACACTTCCTTCCCTATAGGAAAGGTCAGGTCCTGTGTTCTGTAAGAAATTAAGGGAATATAGAAAGTCTTAAAAAATAGGTGCCAAACCCAAAACACTCCCAGTTAGACCTGGTAGCACATGCCTTTGATCCCAGCACTAGGCGCAGAGGCAGGCAGATTTTTGTGAGTTTTGAGTCCAGCCTGATCTACACAGGGATTCCCGGGCCAGCCAAGGCAACACAATGAGACCCTGTTTCCAAAAAGACCATAGGCCAGCAAGATGGCTCACTGGGCAAGGGTACCTGCCTTCAAATCCGAAAACTTGGATTTGATACAAGGAATCCATATGGTGAAAGCAAAGAACAGATTCCTGTATGTTGTCCTCTGACCTCTACCCACATGCATACGTAACATACAAGTAAATGGAAAAAGGATCTAAAAACATGGGCTGGCTGGGGAGATAGCTAAAATCAGTAAGGTGAGTTTAAGCATGAGGAATGTATGTAGTTCAGGTCACCATGACCCAGGTGTGATGGGGCACTTGAAGGGGCAGGCAAATTCCCTAAAGCTCCCTGGCCATCCAGTCAAAGCAGCTGGGGAGTTCCTAGTTGAGATACTAACCCTGTATCACTAAGATAGAAATCAAGGAACACACCCAACATCAACCTGTGGCTTATACACCTAAAAGTAAACTCTGAAGCATACTGTGATTTCAAGTTCTGTTGACACAAACAGTAAAATGAACACCTGTAGGCACTCCATGGTAACCTGCAGACCATTCAGATCAGGGAAATGGGTAGGCTACCTGCAGATCTTCCTCTCCCTCCATTCCTCCAAATCCAACTCCTCCCTAGCTCTGTAACAGACCACCTGCTGTAGCCTCCCTTCCTCTCCAACCCCGGCCCCATCTCCAGTGGATCACACATCTTCACCTTCTGACTTCTCTCCCCCACAATCAGTGCTTTATGACAGTCTCCAACTCCAGCGTGGACTCCATGGGAACCCTGACCACTCCAGCCAGGGAAGCAGGGAAGCTAACTGCTTCCCTAGCTTCTTCAAAACCAACCCCGAGTCTTATCCTATAGGCCAGAGGGCAAAATGCAGATCTTCACCTCTCCTTCAAGTCAATCCTCTGGTTTCATTTCCAGCTCTGAATCAGACCACTCACTGCAACCTCACTCTGCCCCCATTCCCAGGGTACTAAGCAGATCCTGGTGTTCACCCGGCTCCCCAAACCCTACCCCATCCTCATTCCTGTCACCTCCCCATAACTAGAAAATAGGGTTTACCTGGAACCCCCAGTCCTCACCCTATCGGGATCCCTGACCAATTGAGGCCAGCTTGACCTACATAGTGAACTCAAGACACTTGGGACTAAATATACCGTCTTAAAAAGAAAAAGGTATAGGGCTTTTTTTTTTTTTTTTTTTTTGAGTTTCTGTTTAGCTTCGGCTGTCATGGAATTCTCAAACTCAAAACGTCCCCTTGCCTCCCCTGGGATTGAAGGTATGCACCATCACCGCCTAGCTAAAAATAAAGGTTTAAGATAAAGCGGTATGACCAGCCAAGAGTTTTGGTTTTTCATGCAGCCCAAAGTTGTACTGTTACCTCCACCTCTAGACTGCTTTAATTTCAGAGCTTTTAATGGTGCCAGGGACTGATCCAAGCTGTAAGATATTGTTGCTCTGCTTGACTATATCCTAAGGCCCAACTAACTTTACCATTCATCAGGCAAATAATTACCTTAATGTATATGCCACAAAGCACCCCTTTAAAAATTTAAATTCTTGGGAGTTGGGCATGCAATCCAAATGCTGTGACCCAAGCATTTGGCTTACAAGTATTTAGGAACCCTCAGCACACAAACTTGAAACTAGCCTAGGCAAGTGAAATCATACCACGTGACAAATAGGGAAGTCCTCACCCGAGCACTCAATCACTGCATTGTACTAGATCCTGTAGTATAGGTGGATACTGTCCAGTTTAACAGCACCTTCATGTTAGGACCTTCAGGATCAAGGAATTTGGGGTTTACAAAGAACCCTTTAGCAACCCATGTTTCCTTCCATGCCCACGCTGGCCTCAAACTTGCCGTTATGACTATAAAGTTGTAGCTAAAAATGTATTCAGAGAATTAAAAATGTTGTACTGCAGTGTACAGAATCCCTAACAATGCCATATCATGTTCAATTTTCATTGCCTGGAATAGCTAGTAAGGACCATAAAGTAATACTTTCAATTACAATATTCTCCAGTCACTAACCATCCAGTGCTTGTCTCTTCGATGTGACTTTGATTCTAGCCTGGTGGTGGTGGCGCATGCCTTTAATCTCAGCACTCGAGTGGCAGGCTGATCTTTGTTATTTTAGAGGCCAGCCTGGTCTACAGAGCGAGATCCAGGAAAGGCGCAAAGCTACAGAGAAACCCTGTCTCGAAAAACCAATCTTTGATGTGATTTTAAAACTGTTAAGATGCTTGTTCTTGAAAATTTAAGGTGCATATTCAAATATTGCTATAGGCCCCTAAAATTAATCACAGCACTCAGGAGGCAGAGGCCAGCCTGGCCTACAGAGAAAGATACAGGACAGGAACCAAAACTACAGAAACTGTCCTGAAAAAAAATTGTGAGCAGCAACCACATCAATAAATTACAAGTAGATGGGTTCTTTCAAGGTGTGATGACCTGTATCTCAGCACTTTGGCTGATGCAGGAAAACTGATGGGAAACACTAGGGCTACTGAAACCTAATGGTGGGGACACTGGTTTAGCCAAGACTGCCAAGATTAATCAGCCTATATATTTTATCTTCCAGGGCAACTTGGCAAACCTCAAACCATGCTGAGCATGCATGCCACTTCCTGACAATTCTTTTCTAAGAGGCTCCTACACCTGTCACTTTAACCCCAGATTTAACAGAGCTCAGACCTTATAGCACAACTTATAGCCATTTGGGTTGAGATTCAGCAGACACAACCTGTCTGTGAAACATGAAACCAAAGACCTAATCCAACTTGTTTTGCTTCTTGCTATGCTTAAGCCAGGACTTTTTGTGCTTAAAAGCATGCTAACAAGAGTGTAATGGCTGGCCAGCTAAGACCTATTTATTGGTGTAAACCCATGCCTGAGCAATCTTCTCTGGATAATACCCCACAAAACATGCTCAATGGACTTGGTCCTAAGCATTAGAAAACAAACGCACACTTTGTATTTAATTCCACATTCTATTTATTTTGATAACAATTCTCATAATGTGAAAACCCGAAGTATGATCTGAACATCCATCCAGCCACCTGCAACAGAGGTAACCTGGTTAGGCACATTTCTACATTTGAATTTAAATGATAATTGTTACACACAGAATATCAGATCTTTTACTATCATCAAGTAATCAGTGAGAGAGTTCAAGTTGTGGTGAGATCATCACATATTCTGGAATAGGTTCATGGTTAACATTTTCAATTCTCACCTTTTAAACAGTAAGGTGAAATTCAAATAGTGAAATTGCATGCCCACTTCTGCCATAGGAGCCCTATAAAACAATAAGATCTAATCATTTATCTTGTTTAGACTACTTATAGATTGCATGTTACTATAGTAACCTCAGAAATAAAGTGGAACGGTTTTAAAGGTGTTATCACTTTGTATCATTTGGCAGAATCATCACATCACTGGTTACAGGCCACATTATATACAATCTGTACAAAAACAAGGTGGCTTACCTTGAAATTCAGAAATGAAGGATCTGTTTAAAAACAAGAAAATTTCATTAGCCCAGAAATTTATCTTAACCATTCAGTACATTTTACACTATTCTTTGGGTACTGAAATAGTTTAGATGACCTTTCCACAAACAATTCTTTCCTCCAATTCTACAGGGCCTAACGTTTTGTGGTAGTGACCACACCTAGAAAACTACACTCTTACAAAGTCAATGACATTTTATGAACTAGTGACTGAAGTTGTGCTTTGGCACTGACCTGTGGCCTTACAATCACAAGAACCTAGCTTCCATCAAAATTCATAGAAGACAATTCTTTAAACCATTATAGCCAGATACATCAGATAGGAGCGAAAGACTTATGATTTGTTCATCAGAGGCTGTCTGCTGAACTATGTTATCATCATAGTATCGGCTTATTGAGGATTTAATAAAATAAGCACTCATACATGCACATTTCATCAGCAAAAACACTTACCTTTTTTTTAAAAGCTTGCCCAGTGCCTTCAGTCAAGGGGAGCCATGCACACCTGCAGAAATCCAGTTCCATTTAAAAACAGACGTTTATAAAGTAGACTTACGCATAAGTTTTAACTACTGTTTCAGCTTAATAACCAATCTTCAATCTTATATTCAGAGAGATTCCCATCTGTTTAACTTTATACATCACTAACAGTAGTATTGTGTTCCTAAGTGAAATCTACAAAAAACGCTTCCTCACCTTCATTTACAAGGTCAATCTGGACCACTGGTTACTCTTCTGGTGCTCCTCAATTCCCAGTAACCATATGGTGGCTCACAACCATCTATAATGGGATCTGATTGCCCTCTTCTGTTATGTAGGCAAAATACTCACGCCTACAATAAAAGAAATTTAAGAGGCCAATTAGTGCTGGTGAGGAAGCACATGCAAGTTCAAGAATTAACTGCTACACAGTACTGTAAATGACCCTACTTATTGGCACAAATCAAGAGCCCAGTAATTGGCTTCTTACCCAAGCAAGCAAGCCATCCAAATGAAAACATGCAACCAGTAGCTAGAATTAAAAGAAAACACCTCTTACAAATGTGCTAAGCATAATTCAGTTAATTCTTAGTTGCCTGTCACAGGGTTCTTCAGTGTTAAGATTTGTTGTCTACAACATATTCAGATCAGACATTTGCATAACATCATTACAAAAACCCTGTCCTAGTAAACACAAATCTAACATCCATGAGACAATGCATGCCAGATATCAATAGTCTATCTACAATCATGGCATGCCACTTTAAATTGGGTTTTGTTCAGTTTTCCAATACTTACTTTAAAAGTTGTCCAGATAATTCAAACACCTAGGAAAAAAATCAGAATTCTAGTGCATCCAAAAGACAGAATTTGTCCCACCAAAAGCTAACCAAGCCCGTATCAGATAGAGCTAATAAGACGACCTTCATGTTAGTCAGCATTGGCTTGTCATCATGCAGGCTGAGTTCACACAAAGGAGACACATAGCAAGTGTATTTACTATGCAAAAATGCAACCACACGGAGCCATGTTTGCCCAGTTATCTACAATTCCATTAACTCTACTCACATTTCATCTTGTAGTTTCTGGTCACAGCACCTACAATTTCAAACGGGTTAAGTTAAAAACTAGGTCAATGATCGACAGAGAACACAAAATGGTGACATGATTTAGCCTGCTAACTATGCAACCACCGTATTTGAGAGTGATTCTCTGCATAAAAGCTGTTCTTGAACTCACTTTGTAAACGAGACTAGCCTGAACTCAGATCAGCCTGCCTCTGCCTCATAATTGCTGGGATTAAAGTGTGCCGCCGCCAACACTACGTGGCCCCACTTTAACTGCATGTCCCTATAATCCAGAAAAAGGGAACCTGTATCAATTCTACATGGCCAACTCAGCACCTTGTGAGGTTGTGGAGACCCAGAACCCAGCAAATAGGGCCCTGCACCATGTAGAGGTACCTAGTTGCTTTGTTTTTCAAGACAGGATTTCTCTGCATGGTTTTGGTGCCTGTCCTGGATCTAGCTCAAAAGAGATCTGCCTGGTTTTGCTACCCCCACCCTCAGTACTGGGAATAAAGGACTGCGTGGCTGCCGCCACCAGGTTGAGGTAACTAGTTCTTATAAAGAACCTTCTCACACAGCGTGAGACCACAGCAATGGGCTGCTTTGCTTCTTATCTCCCACCCATTCTATTATCTTCAAGCACTTCATATAACTCTCTGTATCAGCTCATGTTGGGATCCTCAATTTGTGCTTATCTGCCAATCTTTCCTTTTGGGTAACAGATTAGATAGGTATCACTCCGATCAATTTGACATATATACGAAAAATGTTTCTTACCCTGCACACCCATGGTTAATCCAGCTTCTCCCATTGGTCCTGGAAGTAAAAGAGCTTAATGTAAATTCTGTTTAGTTTGCAGAGACCCTGTAAGTCATTATCCTTTATGCCTCAGTTACAATTATGGTGGTTTAAGATTATCGTCATCCCACTGTCAAGAGTAGCAAATAAAATGTCATCATTGTGGCACGGTTCATTCAACCTACCCTCTCATTGGCTCATTTCAGTACTTACCTCACTCTTCATCCATCTTTGTCCCAGAACTAGAAAAAAATGTTAAGAATTAGACCCCTGCTTTCACAGCCTTTTTGCCATCCTCCACCCGAATTAAAGCCTCAGAACAGTGTTTTTCAGAAATCCCTTCTGTCCACTACTCTCATACCATCATAGGCTTTAACAGTGTTTGAAGGTATCTTCCGTTCTTTATCGATTCTTACCTGTCTATGCGATGCCACCAAGAGGCATTGAGAGGTCCACAGCACCATTCCTAGAGAAAATTTGCTCATTTAGATGTCTTTAAGTACACCAGCTTTACTCGCACAAACAAAAAAAGAACGGAAAATTTTCACAAATGAGAACTGTATTCAATGAGGCACTGTGGAATGCATCTATCCCAACAGTATCACTTTAAATTTCTTCCACAGACCTAAGACTCCACTGGAGGCTTTGTTAGTGGCCCCTCACAAGGGCCTACTTTGAGGCGGTTGTTGGCGAATGCCATCAACCTCATGGTGAGCTCTAAAAATCAGCAGCGGGTCTTCTTTAACCGCGTAATAGAAAAAAATCACAACCACTACAAAAGGCCTCTCGCGGTGACTCAGCATGCTCCGCCATCAGAGTCGTTGGTATTCATCAACAAGGTCAGTTGTCCCTACCAACATAGCCTTCATCATAGCGAGAACACAGGTGCCGAGTCTCCTATGGACTTTCCCAAAAAAAAAAAAATTACAAAACCATTTTAGGTCGCGCGTGCACGCAACGCCAAGTCCCGATAATCTCCAGCTTGTGGGCCTTACAAGCTCATTACTGTCCTCGAAAATCCGCCAGTTTGCGGTGGATTCATCTGCAAAATGCTATTCTATAAGGCCTGAGCCTACAACACACATACACAAGCACCATACGTACCGACCACAACGTGGCTCAACGCGCCGAAAGGCCGAGATGGCGGCTGAGGCCAGTATATAAACTCTCCGTGACGTCACGACGCACGGCCCTCCGCTGCGTCCGCTTAGGTCCCGCCCATGCGCCTCAGACCCCTCCTCCAGCCCCACCTCCTTCCCGCCCCTCAAGTTCTCCCGCTGGCCCCGCCCCACAACGCCTGGGGGGCGGAGTCGCCGCGGGCACGTCAAGCCCGGCCTCCGCCTCCCTGAGGAGTAAGGGCTGAGGGGAGGGGGCTCCCGTAAGGAAAGCGCTGGGGGAGGGGCGGTGTGAGGGTGACTGATTTCCTTCCGGCACGTCGCCCGCTCCGGAGGAGGGGGCGGGGGGTTTCACTTCCGGGACGGTGTTCCGGCCCATTCCGGCCCATTTCCACCCCCGGAGGTAGGTGCTGCTCCTTGACTGGGCTCGGGCCCCGCACCCCCGCCCCGTTAGCCTATACCGGACGCTCCTTGGCCGCGTCTCGGCTGCAGCCAGCTCCTGGGCCGTTCAGCCGCCCGGCTCCACCTCCCCTCCAAGCACTCGGCGACCTCCCCCCCCCTCTTTGGCTCGGGGCTGCAGAGCTTGCGGGCCCGCCCCCTCGCGAGCCCCTCCCTCAGGACCCCGCGGCGGGGACACACCCAGACACACCCCCCGCCGCTGCCGCCTCCGCCGCCCTGTACCGGGTCCCGGGGCGCCGCCCCCTTCCCCCTCCCGCGCCTCACCTGTGCGCTGGCTGCTCTTCGGCCGCGCGTTCTGCTCTCTTTTCCCGGGTTCTGTGCCATCTCCCCGCTTAGCCAGGTCACCCTTTTCCCAGGCTCCCTGACCCACACGGAAGCTGCTCCAGTACCCGACTGGCCAACCCCAAGCGTTCCCGATTCTCCCTTTTACAGCTCTCGCCCCTCCAGTGCCGACGCTAGAGAGAGACTTTACACCAGGGGCTTCCTCCTCACTGGGGAATTGCTGGGAAGAGCAAACAAAAAGGCGCTGGTGTAGGCTCCAAAATAAACACCTGAATTCGTGATGGCATCGACAGAGGCTCTTAAAGGATTAAAAGTTTCAAAACAAACAATAACGCTTTGGAAAAAGGTCAGATTGGTTAAAGTTGCTTCTTGAAAGCTGTGTTTGCACTTCCCTGTTTACTCAAGTGTGTTGTAAATACGGGGTGATAGCGTGAGCTTGTCAGGACCACTTCCTGGTGTGTTGTGTAGTCTCATAAGTTTAGAGGTAAATTGGATGCACAGTGAGCCAAAGTCATTGTGATACATCTCAACTACCCTCAACTAATTGAGACTGTTTGATGCAGTTGCAATCTTTTAGTGTAAAATGTTAAGCTTTATTCTTGTCAGCTGTGGGGAATCAACTTCCTGAATCAAAGTAGCATCTTTGGAGTCCCCAACCTCGAGTTTGTAGGTAGAGAAAGACTGACTTAGTAGTTTTGTTGGGTGGAGAAAGATTTAGTTTTTGCTAACTCTGAAAACTAGACTCCGAGTTCTCTGCCTGTTAATTGAATGCTGAAAGGGCTGTGGAATTTTTCCTAACCTACAGTTCACCTCAGAGTCTTGGATGCAAAAAGAGGGAGCTCCAGCTGGTAAGCATTTCCGAATATTGGCCCAGCCTGGCATGGAAGTGGTGACACACCTCTAACACCAGCAGCATTCTTTAATCTGAGCAGAGGCAATCAGATCTCTGAGTTAGAGACCAGCCTGATCTCCATAGTGAGTTTCCAGGAATAGCCAGAGCTACATAGACCCTGTCTCAAACAGACAAATGCCAGGTGTGGTGGCTTAATCCCAGCACTTGGGAGGCAGAGGCAAGTAGCTCTCTGAGTTCCAGGCTAGCCTGCTCTACAGAGCAAGTTCCAGGACAGCCACACAGAGAAACCCTGTCTTGAAAAAAAAGTGATAATACTGATGATTCATGTAGAAAATTAGTCACTTTATAGTCATAAATAACCTGTGCCACATGTAAATTATAATCAACCTGTATATAATTAACTTTACTCTAAAATGTACTTCCTCTAGAAAAAGATAATGGATTTGTATTCAGTCTGAAATCCTTGTATTTGGTACCCCTCCTTGATGAACTCCTACCTCGATGTTACATAGCTTATTAATAAAGTATGGTTGTAGCTTGAATATGAAGCAGTCTAGCAGTCACTTTGTTGTTGTTGTTGTTTTCATTGCATTTTACTGTGAAATCTAAAACATCGTGCCAGGCTTAGCAGTTCACACTGATCCTAGTACTCAGGAGGTGGCATCAGGAGGGTCATCACAATTTTGAGGGCTGCATTAGAGTGAGAGCTTGTTCCTAACAAAACAAAACACCTGCTGGCAAGTCTGTTTCTGCATCCAAGCATCATAAGGAAGGTGCCTGTTCATACGTGGAGATTTTCATTTTTTTTCTGAGACAAGTTCTCACTTATGTAGCCCAGACTCATGATTCTCCTGCCTTGGTGGCCAAGTGTTAAAATTACATATGTGTACCTGGCACTCCTGACCAGGAGACTTTACATTTTTAGGGATGTTTGAAGTAAAAAACCCAAAGGGAGTCAAACTGGTGCTAAGAATATGGTTTGCTCTTTCAGCAGGGTTGAATGTCTGCCTGTATTTTCAGGCATGACCATGGAGAAAAGTGGGAACATACAATTGGAGATCCCTGACTTCAGCAACTCTGTTCTGAGCCATCTCAACCAGCTACGAATGCAAGGCCGTCTCTGTGATATTGTGGTCAATGTGCAAGGACAAGCTTTTCGGGCTCACAAAGTAGTACTGGCTGCCAGCTCTCCTTATTTCCGGGATCACATGTCCTTGAATGAAATGAGTACTGTGTCCATTTCTGTCATCAAGAACCCTACTGTTTTTGAACAGCTCCTTTCTTTCTGTTACACAGGGCGGATATGCCTGCAACTAGCAGATATTATCAGCTACCTAACAGCCGCTAGTTTTCTGCAGATGCAACATATTATAGACAAATGTACACAGATCCTAGAGGGCATTCATTTCAAAATTAATGTGGCTGAAGTGGAAGCAGAATTAAGTCAGACGAGGACAAAGCTCCCAGAGAGACCTCCAGAGTCTCCCAGGGTTACACCAAATCTAAACCGCTCACTTAGCCCACGACATAGTGCTCCAAAGGGGAACTGGAGAGGACAGGTCAGTGCTGTGCTGGATATCAGAGAGCTCAGCCCCCCTGAGGAGTCTACCAGTCCTCAGATAATCGAGCAGAGTTCGGATGTAGAGAGCCGGGAGCCCATTCTTCGAATCAACAGAGCAGGACAGTGGTATGTGGAAACAGGAATAGCAGACCAGGGGGCGCGGAGTGCTGATGAAGTTAGGGTTCTTGGAGCAGTCCACATCAAAACTGAAAATCTGGAGGAGTGGCTTGGGCCAGAGAACCAGCCTTCTGGAGAAGATGGGAGTAGTGCGGAGGAAGTCACAGCCATGGTGATTGACACCACAGGCCATGGTTCTATAGGACAAGACAGTTACACTTTAGCGTCTTCGGGAGCCAAGGTAGCTCGACCAACCAGCAGTGAAGTGGATAGGTAAGTTTTGTTTTCCCATTTAAAGCTGTTGTGTAAACATCATTAAATGAGCCTTCTGTGTTACAGAGAGCATTTTTCTTACCTGATGTTCCTATTTGACTTACTTTGGGAGACTGGAAATATGTCAAAAGACTTGCATTATTTTTTTTAAGCAGGAAGCTCCAGGTTCTGAAGTATTCACGATGTTATGAGAACTATGGTAAAATCAGCCACTTCCATGAATCAGATAGCATCTGCAGCCACTCTAGGATTAGTTATTGCCAGGGCCTCTCTGGATTCTAGGCAAAGAGCTGATTGTCAGAAGGTGTCTGGTAACATTGCCCTTTCTCACTGTAGCATCACACAGGTAGGTAACCTTGGGAAGTTTTACTTTCCTTATAGCACTGTGTATTATTTCTCTCTGCCCTTACCTACCAAGTTAAGAGACAGTCTGGCACCATCAGTAATTGTTCTTTTTTCAAATTAGAGTAAATATAGTACAGTAATTCTAGAGAAAAGCTTTTTGAATGTTTTTCAAGTGTCTCCTCACCTAGTGATGTTTCCCTTGAAGCTGCTATTCTCCGAGGCCTGAGAGTGTCCTCACCAGTACGGCCATGGCCTATGGTCTTCACTTTTCTTCCTTATATGCCAAATCTGTTAGAACATTTCCTTTTGATGGAAATAGCACTATCTTTCATCTAGTCAACTGAAAGAAAAATGTTACTAGTTTAGATTGGTAACATCTTATGTTCTTTTTTTATTTTCATTTATTTGTTTATTGAAAAAAGGTTTCTGTAGCCCAGGCTGTTCTAGAACGCAGGGCAGTCCTCCTGCCTCAGCCTCCTGAGTGCTGGGATTACTGCCATGAGCCACTAAGTTTGGATTTTGGTGGTGGTGGTGGTGGTGGTGGTGGTGGTGGTGGTGGTGGTGGTGGTGGTTGTGTTTTGTTTTGTTTTTAAGACACGGTTTCTCTGTGTATCCCTGACTGTGCTGGAACTCACTCTGTAGACCAGGCTGTCCTGGAATTCACAGATACCTGCCTGCCTCTGCCTCCCGAATACTGGAATTGAAGGAGTGTACCACCACTGCCTGGCTCATGTTTGGATTTTTTTTTGAGACAGGGTCTCACTCCATAGTTCAAAATGGTCTATAGCTTACTAAGTAGCCTAGGCTAGCCACAAACTCATGCATTCTTCCTACCTTAGGCTCCCAGGCCCTAGATTACAGACTGGCTTCTCTTTCCTGCTTGAAATAGATTGAAATGGGTAAAGGCGCTTAGAGCCAAGCCTGACCATCTGAGTTCAGGCCCTGGGACCCACGTGGTAGAAAGAAAGAGTGACTCTGATAAGTTGTTGTCTGACACACATGCTGGCACACACATGCCTCTCCTGAACAAACAAATAAGTGTGAAATTGATCGGGGAGCAATTAAAACCAACTAACTCATTTCTTTGGTTTATAGCTGATCATGTAGACACTTAGTAGGTTTTTAGCCACGTAGGTGGTCTTGATTTG